ATAGTTTTAAAATATTTGTAATACATAAAGGAAATGACTATGGAGCCGGAGAAGGATGTGGAAATCGGGCAAGCATATCAGCAAAGAATGCAATCATCTGATCTTGTTTGGTTGCCTAGCGTGCTAGGATCGTATTCTGTTGTGTTAGCACATGATGGAGCTCCTCGATAATCCCATCGAGAGTCATGGCGAGGGAGTCCATTCGCCCGTGTAGTAGTGAAAGCTGATCGTCGTCAAGTAGTCATCTTGTGGGTTGGGGAGCTCTCGATCTTGAGATGCCAACAGGTGGCGTACCCTCGTCGTCGTCATCAACGTCCTCGTCATCGAACGGTAGGGTAGAAGGCCCCGACGTCGGATTGAACCCCTTTGTTTCGGACACCCATTGTCTATCCTTTTTAATAATTTTCATTCGTTTAAGTGTGTTGGAACTAATGATGTCGGTAGGTCGTGGTTTAATAAAGTTTCATTGTGAAGAGGGACCTCAAAATGATGAAAGATTTTAGTGAGGAGCGTGCCATAAGGGAGTACCTTGGATATGCGTGAGGAACGAACAAGTTTCTTCTCTCTGCTTCCAGATCAATTTCATCTTCAATATCCGTCATATCATCATCCTCTAGAGGTTTGGCCTTCTTCACATTCCAGCACACATGCTTCCTCTTTGTTATCCTTCCTTTCTTCCTCTTCTTTTTCTTTGTTTTCGAACTCATTGGCTAGTAAATAGTTATTAGCCATGATAGGAGGTAATGTACCGAACTGAATAGTAAGGGGCTGATCTGGGTCTTCTTCATCCCTTTTGCCTCATTCAAACTTTGATCTCCCAGAAAAACTTTCTGGCAGTACTTCCATTGATTCACCTGTACCAATCTCTTCACTATCCTCGAGAACATTTTGATTGGCGATTTCAAGTAGGAACTTTAGGATGTGGTAATTTCTATTGTTGTCTCATCATTCGTCCATAATTCTATTGAAAACGCTTTTGTTGGGTTCTAGTCATCTCATTGAAGGGTATCACCCTTCCTGCATTATAATGGAATAAATGTCATACATTTGGTTGGCGAG